GTGTGTGTGTGTGGAGGTGTGTGTGTGCGTGTGTGTGTGGTGTGTGTGTGGTGTGTGTGCATGTGTGCGTGTGTGTGTGTGGAGGTGTGTGTGTGCATGTGTGCGTGTGTGTGTGTGGTGTGTGTAGGTGTGTGTGTGTGCTTGTGTGTGTGTGTGTGTGTGCTTGTGTATGTGAACAGGAGAGAGCAGCGGAGCGCGGGTTGTGGTTGCAGTCTCTGTGCTCGTGCCAGCGTGCCTGGGCTCCGGCACAGGGTTCGAGTCCCAGCTTGGCTGTGCATCAGCCCCTCCTGCTCTGCCGGCCAGAGGGCGGGCGTGCGGGCCATGGGTCTGCGAAAGCAGGCTTCGAGCTGGTGCGGGCTTGTCCCCACAGCAGGGCTGGCCAGAGGCAGCGGGGCTTCCCAGGGGAGACGTGGGTGCTGCTGTGGGGCTGTGAGAGCGAGGGTGTGGTGGGCCGCGCCTCCTGACGGAGGGCGGGGAGGGCAGGGGAAGGGCTGGTCCTCCACAACAGCCGCGGGGCGGGGCGCAGCCCCACCATCCCCCGTGCCCACAGACGTGCACACGCAGAGAGACATGAGCTGCTGTCTTCTGTATTTCATCCCCCAGGGACTGAGATTCCCCAGACTGCACACGGTGGTTTTAGAATAAATGCATGCGAACTGGACTGCTGAACTCCTAAGGTTTTCATCATTTAGATCAGCCGTCTTCTTATTCGGTGCATCGGCATCCCGCAAACCTCTGTTCTCGTTCTTGGGACTCCCATGCGGCTACTCAGTAGTTTTTATGTCCAAGGCAGGAAATTTTGCTGGTGTCTCAAAATAGCAAGTTTGTATCACAGCCTCCGCCGGTGCGTACGGGTTATCTGCTCTAATAATTCTCTTTGCCGAGGTTAGAGAACAGACTTGGTGAACATTGTATTTATCACCTAACACTGATGAATACAAATGATCAAAATCTTCAAAACGCCGATTCACAATAAAATTCCGACAGAATGTGTGAGGTGCTGGCCAGTGCTGGGGCTGGAACTCGGTGACCAACACGGACCAGGCGGGCGCTGGCAGCACCAGTCCGCAGAGGAGCCCTTGATCGCCATTCAAGGTAGAGGAAGATGTGAGTGTCTGAGGCTGGCCTGGGGAGCGAGCTGCACTCCAGCAGACGTGGAAATATATTTCTCATAATATAACATTTTTTTTTTGAATGTATATCAAAAGTATTTAATATGGAGAACATAAAGCACCTTCAATCACTCAAAACTCCTTATGATGTGCATCAGTTTGTACCAATCCAATTTCCATCTGCCCAGCAAAAAATGATTGAATTCACTATAATAAACTTCAGGTCTTCATCTTTTCAAACAAATCTTCAGCACCACCCAACATGGAGATACCAATGAGTTTAGGAGAAATTAAATAAATGATTGTGTTCTTTAAAGAGCCAATACAGTCTTTCTAATGTAAACTAGCACCATTAGAGGAAGAGTTTTTTTTTTTTTCAATTCAAAAGACCCTGAACAGGTGATTTATCAAGTCAGAGAGAGCAAACACTGAGTGGGTTTTGTGCTGTTGTCTGTGCTGGAACTGCAGCTGGAACTCAGGGCCTGGGTGCTGTCTCAGCTTTACTCAGACTGCCACTCCACCGTGAGCCACAGATCAGGCTTTTTTTTTTTTTTTTCTGATTAATCAGGAGTCTCGTGGGTTTTCCTGGCCCAGATGGCTTCAAATTGCTCTCTTCCTATCTTAGCTTCCAGAGTAGCTAGGATTATAGGCATTAGCACCGGCACCCAATTGAGCGATGAGTTTTTAAAAATTTTTCCTGTGATAAAGAGTGGCAAATTAAAAGAGCATAATAAAGCAAAGCAAAACTTTCAGAAACTGGAGAATCAAGACAGCCACAGGCCAGCAGGCACACACGTATTTCACGTGCACGCTCAGACACACTCACACCTGTGTACACACACACACCCCGGCGAGAGTGTTTTCTTTTCTCCTGGTCATCACCAGTCGGCAACCTCCACCACAAAGGGCGTCTTCACATCTATCTTGCCGCTGCTGACAATCGAGCAGGTGACGAGTGGACGGTCATGCTCGTCAGTTGCTTGAAGTTCTATGGAGTGTACCACGGTC